GACTGATTCAGATTTCAGACTTCAGCACCACCTCTTAAAATTCAGAAGTGAATTCAGACTTCAGACTTCAGCACCTCTTAAAAAACAAACGCCACATAATACTTCTAATTTGACAACTGGAGAATTCGATAAATCCCATAATTTATATTTTAACAATAACAACGAAATTACGGTTACTTTCCATGTTGTATTCTTAACTTTTATGGCGTATTTTTAAAAAGAAAATCTGTCTAAGACATTAAGTTTTTTAGTTTTTATTTGTTAATTATCCACGTTTCGAAAATTAACAAAATTTTAAAACCAGTCAAAAATTAAAATCCAAAATTCTCAACCGTCATTTGACTTGTTCACTATTTAACCAAAGTTCTCTTTGCTGGTGAACTTGTTTAATAATTTTTTTTTTCAACTTGCATAATTTCCTTTTTCTTTTAATTTGAAGATGGATGTTTTTTGTATATAATTCGATATAATGTTTTTTTAGAGGTGTTTGAGATTGCTTATTTGAAATAATTTATGTTTTTCTACAAAAGTTTTTACCAACTTATTATAAGTTATAATGGTTTAACTTTTTTCAAAAACTCCTTATTACCGTTTTGGCACCGGTATAAACTATTTATCCAAACACTCAAAAGTCTTTATTACCTGTGCCATACCGGAATAAATCAATAAATTGTTTTTATAAGCAATCCCAAACCCCCTTAATTATACAAATTTTATTTTGGAAATATATGTTATATTTCTTTTAGTTTAAAGTCGACCAGATTTTTTTGTATGATCTGATTTAGCCGGTACATATTTGTTCGTAGTTTGTGGTGTTAAACCGGATCCCAAAGAACCCAACCCAAAACCCTAGTAGTTTGAATAAAACATGGTTAGCTTTTGTAAATGCATGATCTCAACTCACGCGCTGAAACTTCCCTTCCTGTGGCTCGACTCACAGACTCATTCCTAAAATCGATTTCACTCGGTAACCCCTATTTTCTTTCCTATTCATCAACCACAACAAGCTCACTCTCCCTAGAGATGGACTTTCAAGTGGTGGTATTGGCAGGAGGCTCTTCGAAGAAGCTTCTCCCTCTTGTTTCCAAGGTTTTTATAACCCCTTCTGGTGTTTATATTATTGATGTGTATCATTATGTTGATTCATTTTCTCTATCTAAAAACCTGTAGGACGTTCCCAAATCGCTACTCCCAGTGGCAAACCGTCCAGTCCTATCGTATGTTTTGGAGCTTTTGGAGCAGAGTAATCTCAAAGATCTCATCGTTGTAAGAACCTGTCAATACATTCTGATTTTTTGTTTGTTCCTGTATAAATATCATCTGATTTTGTTTGATATGTAGGAGTTGATGTGTTGAAATGTTTGCTTCTTTGCCGGTTTAATCAGCATCGCATCAGTTACTGAAAAGGGCAATTTGAATTTTGATGTGAAAACCTAGTATTTTGATAACCTTGTTGTCTGAGGAAGACGTGCCACAATTGAATACTTTCTTTTATCTTGAGCCAAACCAATGTCGCATGCATTCATGAACTCTGTTCACGGGATATGGTCAATCACTCAACCCTCAACAAAATAATTTCTAGAAAACCGATATCCATGTAATCACAATGCAACCATATTCGGGCTATTAGGCCTTTTGTTAGAGATGATGCTATGTAAACTTCTTCCCATCAAATAAGCTACAACCTTCCTTGGTAGTTATTGACTAGAAATCTAACAGGTAGAGTGAACCAACCACCATACATGATTTACTTATTCAATACAATTGGCTGTTGGCATAGAAAACTAAATATGGTTACATAATAGAACTATCAAATCTCAATGGATCATTTCATAATGGAAATGAAATTTTTATTTCATGCATGTTGGTTGCAGCACTCCACAACGAAAATGATTCTATGTATCAGTATCACAATGCATGATATTTTTCCAAATGAAAATCTGTTGATATTAGTTTCTACTAAGTGACATCCTATAAGTCACTCAAGATGAGGGTGTATTCTAAACCATGACAAGTGGTATGTGGTTGTACCGAGTAAGGACCATACCATAAAAAGTACAATTGTACCGTGAAGTAAGATTAAATGAGCTAGTGATATGATCCACTTGGTTGTATAAAACATTATCATCCATTTGGTTCTATATCCTTTATCGTTAAACCATAAACTCAGTGTTGGTACTTCATGGTGTTAACCTGTTTTTTGTCAGAAACATATCTGACCCTAACATGTTCAGTTTGAGTTCCAATCTTTATTGTTACAAAATAATGCAACATCAACATTATCACAATCATCTTCTAGTCATCTATCAATGGGATCTACAACCGTGAGTAAATATGATTAACGTCCTAACCAATCAAAGAATAAACTTATGATTATGACTTCATAGTATAAGTCATGTTATTGAACCTCCTCAAGGTACAAAAACACATGGCTTGATGTGGACTTCATCGAGTCTTGACAATCAAGATATGTATTCTCAGTTTTTGCAGTAGACACTAGTGATCATGTATAACATCATACCATAGACTAAAATTGTCTCTATTCATGATTTGGATTGTCATAAAATCACATCTATATCCTTTGGGTAGGTAGACTCTCACACAAGTTAAGGGGAAAGATTGAGAGCTTTATAGGCTCTCCTGATTGAAGTGAGAGTTCGCTTTGCTGGTCCATGAATATGTTGCACCCAACAATAGATAACCTTCTGGGTCTTGACTAGGAAACTGGCTATTTGAAGAGCTTCTTTAAACACCTCAATGAATGTAGCATTTTCAGCTTCCTAAAATTTAGGTATATGTAAAAGACTATCTTAGATTGTAACCATTAGACTTGTCGACCAATGAAATGTCCATAATTTTTCGTTGGTTTCTTTAAATTGGATTACGAAGACTAACTTCAAGTGGATAACCAAATGTGTGTAAATGTCTTAATGTTTAAAATCTTTCATCTCCGTGCCTCAAAAAGAGTTTTAGGAACCAAGCAACCTGAGAAAGAACCCTACTCAAATATACGCAAAGGGTTTCCCTCTACCATTACATGGGAGGGTTTAAGTTCCTCATTATATTCTTGACTATATCTGTTGGAGCTTTTTTTTTTCCTTTATGTGATTTCATTTGTTGAGGTTCACCATTCGTCATCTTATGGGAAAGATATTGTCTTTCTAAAATAATTATGCGAATGGTCTAGGACTATGTCACATAACACATTCTATGTAATTGATGTTTTATTCACTGTCATATTCTATGACCTAGGTTTTTTATATATTTTCCCAGATGTATTCTACATCTTCCTTGAAGATATTGGAAGTATCCAAAACTATATCATCAATAAAACTATTAAATATCTCTAACCATTTAGACAAGGTGTTTTTGCTGCTAGTTGATTCATGAATGTTAAACCTTGCATAATATTGACAAATATGAATTGTAGAACTTGAGTTAGTTCATGGTTGCAAATTAGATTCATAACACATGTTTAAGATGTATCGCTCTTCCTCCCAGCCATTTCTTAAACATATTCTTTCTTCTTGTCTCCACTTTCCTTGCTGAAGTAACCTTTTTTACCCATTCTTGTGTCCATATCCTTTATTACCCATTCTTGTGCCAACACCCTTTATAATGCATATGTTGTTCTGATAGTGTCCATTTCCATTTCCAAGAGAAACCAAACGTCTTTCAAGTTTCTCATGGTTAAAAGTAGCTCTTTTCTTGACATATTCACAAGCTTATTAGCTGACCATTAATCTTTATGTCATTGGAGATTATGAATGATTCATATTCTTCTAGGGACATAAAGATTAATGGCCAGCTAATAAGCTTGTGAATACGTCAAGAGAAGAGCTACTTGATTCATATTCTCTGGGGACATGAAAAATGTTGCTAACAAATGTAAACCCACTAGAGGTAACACCAATGTTCCCCTATACACTCTTTTAAAGTTGTTATATCTTTTGTACACACCGTTGTATTTGATCATGAATTGAGCAACACAAACCATGGATTATGATAATCGTTCTTACTGATACAAGCATAAGCATCTGCTTTTAATTCTATTAAACAACTCAAAGATTTTTTCTTAGCTCCATACAAATATATAGAAGGCAACAGGTTCTTGTCAGAGCTGTTTAAAAATAAAAAAACATATATCATGGCTTTCCTAAATCCATTAAAGATTAGTTTCCTAAACCAAGATGCTTGGTAGTGGATCCAGTCACAAACAACAAATACACATGCAAACATTAAAAGGAAGAAAATAAATGACCAAAGTTGCCTTCGAGCAATTAGCTTGCTGGTGTTTGGCGCCATTCCCTAGGTGGCAGTACCTTGGAGGTCATCAGTTAAAATCCCCCTTCTCCCTTGTCTTCTCGAGAAAAAGCAATTAATATTATGAAGTTTTACGGTCTTCACATGAGATGTTAAACTTTAACTAAGAAAGCAGAACTTAAGATAACGCTGACTTGAATGATCACAAGGGGCATAACAAATTTTATAGTTGTAAGAACTATTGAATTGATCCTTTGACAATTTGGAGAGGAATAAGTAACTAATTGGTACAAGGGGGCTTTGGTACCAACTTCTGACGTTATTGTGCAAGGAGTAGAAAAGTAATACCTTTATGGATATGATTGATTGAACACTTTATTCCCTGGTTCATGGACATGCATGACCCCGGGTATCGGATCATAATTCTCTGTAGTCAATCTCACATTCTCACTGCCCTCATTCAATATTACATGCAGAAGACTAACAAGGTTTCAACCTACTCTAGCACTTCCATGGTGATGAATCACAGGTAAAAAAAAGTAACTGTGTTGTGAGTATTGGTATTCTTCCGTTAGAGCTTAACTTTTATAGGTATCTTCTTCTCTAAGAAGTTATAACTGCTCACAATATCCTTTGATAGTTATCAATTCTACTTCACTGTTACTGTGTTACAGTGAATTCAGTGATTTGATTTAACCACTTAAGTACTGGTGTCTTGATGGGTCACCTGAAAGTCACAAATGCGTTCGAAAAAACTCATATGAATCTTACTACCTATTTAACTTCAACATATTTTTGTTCAGTAGCATGTATACAATGTTTATGTAACTACCACCTTATAATAAATATAAAGTTTGAATCTCTATATGTCCCAATTGGCGTCCAAAGTCCAAGTTTAGTTGCCTTTTTATTCGAATGGTGCAGTGTTATCTTTTTGAAGATAAATACAAGGGTTTTACTAAGTTAAAGAACTATGATTAAAAGATGCGGCAATTATAGAGGTTTTATATTAAGTTTTTTTGGGCACAGGTGGTAGAAGGGGAAGATACAGATGGTCTTATTGAAAACTGGATATCAGAGGCTTATGTTGATCGGTTGCATGTTCAGGTAAAGCTTAACAATCCCTTTGATTTTCCACTGGAAAATAACTTCTTAGTGAATCTTTTGAGGGTTTGTAAATGAGAATTCTAGAATGAGATGACATTGCCAAAGTTGATTTGGAAACATGTGATGTGTGATAATAATTTGATTCTTAGCATTTTTGTACTTTGAATTGTCCCTTAATCTAAGTTACAGGTTGTGTATCTACTGGTTGATACAACGTATAATGCTTAGAAGAACCTTTTTAAGGATTATCATTGTTTTTGTTTTTTGATTGCCACTCTTTTTGTTGATTAACTGAATAGTGTGGGATTTGTATTGTTTAAAATTAATGAAAATTTAACTTGGGAATCACTCTTAAAAATTATGAAACATGTTTTTTTCCTTTCCATTATTTCACATAGCCTTTAGGCCAGGGAAACATAGTCTTCACGTTCCATTCAAAATGTAACACACATGGTAATATTACCCGTCATGATCATCACATGCCATACATATATTACAATTGATTTTGATGGGATATTTTCTTTCATGTAAGAAAGGAAAAAAAAGTGCCTAGATGCCTTACTGGAGTTCAAGAGGTTGTGTTGGCTGGTCACATCAGCACATGATAAGCAATTGATTGAAGCCTTGTGCATTTATTTGATTTGGGAATGATCACCATATATGGGGATCAGAAGTTGGACTTCATTTCACCTGATTGTTTTTATTCGTTTGAAATATGGAGGCTGTTTTAGTGTTATTGAAGAAGATTCTAATTTATTGTTGGTGTGTTTCTCTGGTCTCAACCTCTTCCCTTCTTTTCAAATTCTTCAATCTTTTGTGGCAAGCTTTCTGAAACTCTAAGGTCAAAGTGTGTTCACATACAGTTTTTTGCAAGGCAGGGGTCTTCATGGAAACAGCAACTCTAATATTTGGGGTAGGGGACAGGTCTTCTTACATCCCACCCCCATACCCTACTTCCAAGTGTGATATACTCTTTTGGTTTGGTTTATCATCTATATACTGAGCAGTTCCTTCACCAAGTGTTTACTTATGCATTCCACATAGTTGGAATAAACAAATTAAAAAAGTTTCTGTTTTCTACATTGAGGTGGTGCTTTCAACCTGTTCAAGTGAACATTTGTAGGTCGCTGCTGTCCCTGAAGAGGTTGGAACAGCTGGTGCTCTTCGGGCAATTGCTCTTCACTTGACTGCATCTGACATCCTGGTTGGACTTCTCTCAGTCGTCTCTTTTGATCAGAGGAATGCTGTTTGATTTACCTACTAAATTAATCTGTGTACAGGTTGTGAGTGGCGATCTTGTTTGCGACATATCTCCTGGGGCAGTGGCAGCTGCTCATAGACGACATGATGCAGTAGTAACTGCAATGTTTTGTTCTGTACCTGTGACTGGGCCACCAGAGTCAGGCTCTTCCGGTGGAAAGGACAAAACAAAGAAACCAGGATGTTATAATATTGTTGGCCTGGACCTGACTCAACAATTTCTTCTATATATAGCAGCAGGTTAGATCGCTGTCTTTATACTTCACCGTGCATATTATCCTAGAAGTAAGCTTATATATTAACACATGATTTGGCAGGTATGGAAGTTGAGAAAGATATTAGAGTTCAAAAGAGCATCCTTAGTGCTGTAGGGAAGGTAAATGATTGTTGTTTGCATGGAACATGTTGCATCCCTGCACTGAACCCTGGCTTGTTAACCGACCCCCTAGATGAATGAAAGCAGGTCCCGTTGCTAAGATTCACATTAGCATTTACAATCCGAGGAGATATATAATATAAAATGGTCAACCCACAGGCATAACATGGAGATCTAGATATATAACTTCCACTAAGGTTACCAAAGCCTGTTTGCAAAAGAGACGGTAGAAACATGTACAACATAATAAAATATACATGGTGTGCTTTACATTTAAAACATAAGCTTGAAAAAAGATTCACTCCTGCCTTTTCGTGATTCTTACCTAATTGTTTCCTGGTTACGTGGTTTCTACCTGGAATGGTTAGTAAAATATTGAACAAATAATACTCAACAAATCTAACCAAAAACATGTTTGTACTACGGCTTTATGTCTTTTCTCTACTCTACCATTCACGGTTCACTGTCATATACTATACTCGTTAATTTTTTAACATGTTGGTCGTAGGCAATGTGATGTTATATGTTCTAATGGGCTCTCAATTCGAGTATCCCAATCTTTTCAGGTCCTCCATACACTCCGTGATCCCCTTTTATCATGGAAGTTGGAAATAGAGCGACAAGCATGCTTTGGTAAGAGGTGCTCATAGGTGCACACTAGTAGACTTAATCACTCCAAAGAGAAATCTAACTACAGACTTGTAAGCCTTCTGCATCAGACCCATAGCATAACTGATACATGCTAACCTCTAATCATAAAACATGTTTTGACACTTGTGTGTTTATTCTTTAAACAACCAAACACTCAGTTGATGCGCAAGTACTTTGCTCCTAGCCACTGTTTTCATGTATTATTCTATACTTCTCCTCAGCCCTAAGGTCTTAGCATTTCATATTTTATCCTAAAAGCATTCAAAATTGTGGTTTATAATTTTATTTCGATATATGGTATTGAATTCTTAACTTGTTTTGGTTCCAAGTTTAATCAGTTTTCCATAAAAATGTTCATAGAACTGCCATTTTGACATACAAGTTCTATCCAAAGTTTCGGCCTATAACTCAAAACAATGAAGATAAAACTTGAACAGTTTGTCCCCAGATTGAGAAGAATCCGATATCACTCGTATTGTTGTACTTGGTCATGTTAGAGAAGATAAGATTGCGTCAACCAGATCACCAACATACATGCAAGACTTACCTCAAAATTTAATGATCAACCAACGGTCCTTTTACTTCCCACTTTTTAACCAAGTAACCAACTTCCTTTTCAAATTTAAATCGTATCGCAGGCATAAGCATAGAGATAAAAAAGAAACAGTACGAGTCTGTTATTTGCAGAGGATTAAACTTTTTTAATTTCACAATTTGTTTTCATATCTATCTAAAGTATATGATCTCATATAAAAAGCACATGCCAGCAACAATTGGTCAATAAAAAGAATACATGTCAACTAGCATACGTTATCATTATGTGGTGCTCCGTGAAAACCACAGCACACAAAAGATGTGCTGTAATCAAGATAGGGTTCACAGTTCTTGAGTGAGATGATGGCAAGGAGAGATGACCGCAGGTGGCATCTACTAAGAATCAATTCTGAAAGAGGGACATCAAGAATGTAAAAGAAGATAAAAGGGCATGGTGAAGTCTTTGATGCAAATGGAGTGCAGATAGTAATGACGGGAAATATTTCTTTGTGAAATATAATTACATACAACAACTATTCACTTCCAGATGGGAAGAGATATGTAGGTGTCTGATAGGGTCTCACTTGAAATTAAATTGCTCAAGTTGGGATAAAATCGAGAAACTAGCTGCTATACTTTCCACCATCAATAGAAATTCTTTTCCTCATCTTTCGACTATACTACTTTGTATTTTCTTCAGTCTGATGGTGATTGCTTCACAGACTTACCAGTCACTTGCTAATGCTAAGCCATAATCTAATAATACAACTATTGAATTACACAATTCAAATTATTCTCTGGCTCAACCAACAAATGTAACAGACAGAAATCCAAGAATATGTCAAGGAAACAGATCAAGCAAGTTATTCGGAGAGCAGATTTTCTTGCTGTAGAACGAGTCGTGTGACTCATTTAAATATCAGAGTTGACATCAGTGGTCCATTTTGTTGTAAAACGGAATTCACTTCTGCAAATGCCTTAAACAACTTCGTCGATTGGCATTTAAACATTCTTTGAGGTGTAAAACTAAATATGTGTATCATACCTGAATGTTGTCATCTATTATGAAATTTTTCTTATATCTCAAACCAAAATGTTGAAGGGTTGTTGATGCTTTCCCGCAGTTTGCTGAGAAATGTAGTTTATCTAGAAAAGCTATAGCTAAAAAAAAGGTTCTTGATACTTGGATCTCAAAATATTTCTGACTTGGTGCTCTTTTCGTTAACACATGTAGATGGAAATTCGTGCTGATCTAATGGATGCTCATTTATATGCATTCAAAAGGTTTGAGCTCTTGATTTTTTTTGAATTGATGGGTTATTGGCACTTGATGTAATCTTATTTTCTTAGCCATATCCTTTGGTTTTCTTATAGGTCTGTTCTTCAGGAAGTTCTTAACCAAAAGCAAACTTTCAGAAGCTTAAAGCAGGATGTGCTGCCTTATCTTGTTAAAACTCAGCTGGTTGGTTTAAGATTCTACGTAATTGTTTCGTAGTTTTTCTTCTTCATTTTATTTAGCATCCTGATGTAATGATACCTTTTGATCATTCAGAGGTCCGAAATACTATTGAATGGAGCACAAGCTGAAGAAAATGGGAATGAGAAGGATGCTTTTAATAACAATAAAGTAATGCTGTCTCAGCTTCTGGCTAATGCATCTACTCCAAGTTTTCATGAACTCTATGCCTTGGGTCCTAATGGTTTTGCGCCAGCTGAGAGGAAAACTCATAAATGCTGCGTTTATATTGCCAGCAAGAGCAAATATTGTGCACGACTAAATTCTATTCAAGCGTTTAGTGACATTAACCGAGATGTGAGTTCTTGGCAGGGGAACTATTTGTTGTGCTCTTTTGTTGTTCATGAAATGAGCTGATTTTTTATTCTTAAGCATGCCAGGTCATAGGAGATGCAAGTCACATATCTGGATGTTCGTTCTCTGCGCACAATAATGTTATTCATCCATCAGCTGTTCTTGGCTCAAAAACTACAGTAAGTCATCTTACATTTTGTACGATACTCTCTTTTTTTCTTTTTTAAAGCGTCAAATAAAATCATTCACAACAAAGTTTGTAGGATATTTTCTCACTAGAAACCTACATGTGAGAAGATCAAGATTGTGAATAATTTGATGGAAAATCTAGTGAATTTCTAAATAAACTGTAAACACAAAGTCCATGTTGCCCTACAAAAATAAAAGGTCCACTACGACTAGATTATTCTTGAGATTTCAAAAAGTTAGAAACTTGGCCTCAGGTTCGGCTGCTTTGTTGAACATGCATCTGATGACTTTCTATCCTTGTTTGTAGTAAGTTTCGGTTGTTATATTAATTCTTTCTGGTGTTTTATTTCCATTATTTGTCAGGGTTCTCTCTCCTTTCTAGTTTCTCCCATCTTTTAGCAACTTAATTTATTTTGTATATAGGTTGGACCACAATGTATGCTGGGGGAAGGTTCACAAATGGGCGACAAATGCAGTGTAAAACGATCTGTTATTGGCCGCCATTGTCGGATAGGATCCAATGTAAAGGTATGCTGATATCTTTCCCTTTCTATAGGCCATAGCAATCAGACATATGATAATTACCATCTGATGAGTAGAGGCTGGGTCTTCAATGGAGAATAAAATCAAGTGATACAGATCATTACTGTAACCACATGTACACTTTGCTGCACTGTATTTGTAGGTTGTGAATTCGGTCATTATGAATCATGTTACAATTGGAGACGGGTGTTATATTCAAGGATCGGTTATTTCCAGTAACGTACAGCTCCAAGAGCGTGCTGTACTCAAGGATTGTCAAGTACTCTCTCTGCCTGGCTTTAGTTTTTGTTTTTATTACCGTCTTCATGAAAACAGCTGCTCTACCCTTTGAGGTAGATGACAGGTCTGGATACATCCCTCATACCCTACTTTCGAGTGGGTTCGTTTTTATTTTATTTTATTTTACCAACAGTGCGTCTTAGTTCCATCCTCTCAACTGTGTGGAATCGAATTCAGATTGGTGCGGGTTTTGTGGTTACTGCTGGCAGCGAGTACAAGGGGGAAGCATTGGCAAGGAAATAGAAACAAAAACCTCATTTTCACCTTCAGGTTCAATTCAGCTTATCCATGCTACATGAAACCATAATCATCTGTTGTGTAATGAAGCAAAGCTTATGATGTTTTGGTGATAATTTTTCTAGGTTTTGAACAGTTTAGCGAGTAAAGTCCAATTTTGTGAACAGATTTTTTTTTCTCTTCTTTCTGTTAACTTGTTGCCATCCAAATTCTAACCCTGGTATCTTATCGAGTATCGACATGACTTGAAAATATTAGCGATTGTGATCATTTGAGCAATATCTACCCTTCATCGTTGGGATAACGATCCTCCATCTCTAACATTGGACATTTATGCGATTGATAAGGATCTGTAGCTGACAAATTACGATTTCGGACTTGATTTGTTGGTTTGTATTTGCATAAATTTCACTTGGTGTTGGAACCATATTTATGTACCTTCAACTTTGCAACTTATCTTCTCCTTGAGATTACATGTCCACCCCTTCCCATTTTTCTCTATCCTCGAGCATTAGGGTGGTTTGCCTTGCGGTCCTATCGTGGGTTTTGCTTGTTCAAGCTATCAAGGTCCTATATGATTAATCGAGGTGTTCGGCACTGCTATTCAGAAAAAACTAAGAATTTGGAATGCTAGCATATTTGGCGGATCTTGAGTATGATAAAACAAACGTGGTTGAATCATAATCATAATCATAATCAAAACATATAATAAAGGTCCAGAATAAATGTTAGCATACTCCCTTTGTTCTAGAATAAGGGTCTACAATTGAAATGATACATAGTTTTAGACGTTCATTATTATTACTCATTTTAGTTAATCAAATGACAAATTTAGCCTCATTTAATTTATCTTGGTTCACAACCCTTAAATATTTATACATTAATTAAGGGTATATTTGAGAATTTAGTTATCTATTTTTTAAACCAGATACTTATTTAAGGACATAAATAGAAATATAGTCACTTATTTTAAGATTAAGATGAAGGAAGTACGAAGGAATATTTATTTATGAAATGGCTTCTTATTTGCATGCTGAATAGTGAACATCAAGTACGAGTATGATTTTGGATCTTAAGTAACCACTAACAAATGGGCAACTCCTCAGCTATCAAACCCACACTCCCATCAACTCACATCATGTTGCAAGCATGCATTATGAATAGAAACTCAACCTAAATACTAATAAGCAACATATTTAATACAATAGGGGACCTAATAACACATTGGAGTAGATATACAACGACTAATGCATTTCTGCAACCCGTCCTGTCCTGTCTTGTCTTGTCCTCGTATATTTTATATATACTAGAAGCGTGCTCGCGCAATGCAGCGAGATACATCGTGATTTTAATATTTCATTTTGTTCTTTATCTCAGCTGATGTTATAATATGGCTTTATGTGATTTTGAGAAAACGATGATGTTTTTATTTTTGAATAAAATATATGTTTGAAGATATCATAAAAATTTGACAAAAATATATCGATATTAATATCAAATTAACTATTTGAAATTTCTCATTTTCTTGTGTAATTTTTTAATTCAATTTTTTTATAATTTAATTTATGTACAATAACGAAATAATTTATATTTGGTTTAATAATATAATTTTTTTATAAA